CCCACAGCCATGATTTCTCACGTAAAACAAAAACACGTCGGCGTGATTCTGCCCCGCCACCGCGAGGGCTGGCTGTGGTGCAGCCCGTCCCGTGAGAGTGCCCACGGCAGGGGCGTGTGGGCAGGGGCAGCTAGCGGTTATGTGCAAAAGGAAGGGGTTAGCGCAATTGAAAGGAAGTCAAGCCATGTGCTGGTAACCTCTGTGGATTCCTCTCGGGGTGGTGTGGTGTGTTTGTGTGTGGGTTGATGTCTCCTGCGTGTTTTATGTCGAGTGTGATGTGTATACGCGCAGGGGTTGTTCTTGTTTGTGTAAGTCTCTGGGTGCGTAAAACGTCGCTGCTTGGAGGCCAGACGCGTTTCTGAGAAACCGGACAGTGTCAGGTGTTGCGCTGTCGTGACGACATGCCAGTGTTTCGGTCGCGGCGCCGCCCCCACGCGTGAACTGTGCCGGGTCTCGTTTTCTCCGGCGCAGCGCTGATCTGCTCGTCCCTGGGTGACCTCCCGCCCCCAGCCGGCGTGGGCGACAGCTGGCGGTTTTGTTATTTATGAAGTCCAGACGTGCCTCTGTACTATGAAGGGAATGAAAAACGAGCCACCTCTTTTATCAGCGTGCATGCGAGTTAAATCCGAACTGCTGTCGTCTTTTTTGTGTGTTTGATATTACACCCGCTGCCAGTACAGACCAGTTTGCATGCTCTGGAGTCTCGTTGATTGAAAAATATTCCTTACTAGTGGAGAAGTAGGCTGTTTACAGACCTGAGTGAGGTCTTGCCGGGTTAAGAGTGTGAATGTTGTTGACATTGTAGTTTAACACGTTGAAAATGGTCAAAGAGTAATGCTGGTTCAGTAGTCTTTACTTTGCATGACTAGTATTTCACTTAGCTTTAAATACGCTAATCCAGAGTATGTAAATCTGTGGAAATAGTGCACTGGAGAAGAGTAGCCCTGCAGTGTTTTGAAATGATCGACCTTCAATTAGTCCCTTCTGGCCACTTCTGTGCTGGTCTAGTAACACTTTCAGTAGGATCTGCGAGTTCATTCACTGTCATGTTTTGCACACAGAACCAAAGAAGAGTAAGCATGTGATGTGGGTTTTTAGACCATCAGTCATAGGAACTTATCCACTGATCCGCCTTTTACCAGACTAAGAAAGCTCCTCATTTCAGCCGAAGGGGATGATTGTGTACACACTGCGTGAAAGACGCAACGTGTTTTGTATTCACAAAACGAGATTAGTCTAAAATGAATTAGTAGGCGTTTGTACTTTGTGCGATTCAGGGTGCCTCTTTTTGTTTTTGTCGTCACAATGAATTGCATTTATGCAGTGTTCTGCTTGTGGAGGATTCCTGAGTGCCTATATCAATCAGTCAGGGTTTGTTTATCAGTGCACGAACAGTACAGCATACAGCGGTACTTGATTCTCAAGTTGAACAAAGGGGGAGCCTTAGACAGGCCAGACTGTGAAAGCCTCAAGTAGGATTTAACTGAGACAATGCGGCTAAAACCCTTGTTCGAAAATTGAAGTCTGGCGCCTGTTCTGGCACAGTGTCCCCTGATCCCTGTATTGGGTCACTGGTGTTGGCAGGGAAATGGGTCAGGTGTCAGATAGAAGACTGTCACTTACTGGTCCACTTGTCTTTGTAGTAACTGCTTGCTTCTGTGTGGAGGTTGATGAATCCAGTAATGTCCAGGTTCAGCCCTGCACAGCCTTTGAAATTGGCTGAGAACAGGCCAGAAGGGGGGTTGTTTTTTGTCCTCTTATATTGTTTGTCCATTTCTTTGCTGGCGTGATGAATGATATTCATCAAATTGGTTCTTGGATGGGGTGTTTGTTCAGATTGTGAAAAGGCAGTTTTCTAATGTCCATAATCTGCATCACAGAAGGCTGTTTGGTGCTTAATATTGCTTTATGGAAATGACGTGCACCTGATTTAAGACATCAGCTTCAGCAGAAGCATCAATAAAAGCGTAATGTCCTAGGAATTGTGACCTTGCTTTGCAGAAATATTAAATTTAAGATGTATAGTCAGCTCACCAGCACAGACAGAACCAGTGGATCACCCAAGGTGAAGAGTTCCGTTAGTAATGTCTTGTTATACGTTTCAGACCTTCATTTACCAGGAAATTGACAGCTCTATTTGCAGTCTAGATAAGATCCACGTAGGAAAATGAGTAGTAAGGCTTTGCAGTGTGATGTTTGCAAGGAGTAAGCTTTCAGGTAAGGCTTTGTGCCACACTGCTAAAACGAAATTGAAAATCTTCATTTGTGAGCTTATTTAGCCATCATTGAACATACGGATGGCTGACAAGAAATGTGAACACTGACGTCATTCAGTAGGCAGGGCCACTGTGGTCTCTGTGGTCTAGAAGACCACTGTGGTCTCTATGCACTGTAATATAGAGTCTTCCAGTGTCTGGAAGTCTGCAGGAGTGCTGCAGCACCGTTTTGCCACGAGAAAGTCCGTCAGCCTAGGTCTGGTTGACGGAGTGTGAAAACGCTGTCACGGGCATCGTTCCATAGTGTCCCATACATGCTTGACTGGGATCAGCTCCGGAGACTGAGGAGGCCATGACAGCGGAGTCCTGCTCACCCGACCACGCACTCCGTGAAAGGAGAGGCTGTCACTCCTGAAGACACCCCTGCTGGCGGGAAGGACATGGAGCCACATGGGGTGAAGATGGTCACTCGGTACCCTTCTGTCACAGTCGGCAGAGCTTGCCTTCTATAGGAATGGGTGCACCCAGACAATGCCAGGAACAGAGCCCCACAGCATCACGGAGCCACCAGCCCCCTCGGCTTTTGAAATCATATTCAGAGGTGTCCGTTTTTGTATGGTAAAGGAGAGTTCATCTGGCCATCTCGCTTTTCTTCACGGCTCAGTAGTCCATTGTCTGTGCTTGCTGTGCCACTGGGCTGGCTCACGTGCCTAGCCTAGCGTGTAGTTCAGGTATCGGGTATCCCTTTCTGGAGCTCTCGGCTCGCCGGCCTCTGATGCACCTGACTGCCCGTGCCCCAGGTTGGAGGTCGGAGTCGGTCGATCTGCGGTGGCCTGCCCGTTTTGTCCCTGGAAGGTTGCCGGTTCGTATCCCGCGGCCGGTAGAGGAATCCTAATCCGTTGGGCCCCTGGACTTGCGTGCAGGTATTGCAGTCTGTGTATGTGCTTCCATCTGCTGCCCTTTGCCGGTCCGTCCGAGTTCCTTGCTGACCCGACCTTGCGTCCTGTCGCTGGTGGAACCATCAGCATTGAGCCGTCTGAGTCACCGACTCTCCTGGCAGACACGCCCCGGTCACAGGGGTCTCCTCTTACTGTGTTAGATCTTAAACAACACCCGTGAGGAAGCACTTGCTTCTTTATATCTGCTGTGCCTCCTTTAACCTTAGAGTGTCCTTTTTTTTTGCCCCCTTTGTTTATACGCAGGTGTAAAGCTAACGCCTTTTGTGGACTAAATTGGAATGTGTGGTGGTTTAGGCTTCTGTGTAATATTGATTATGTATTGGAACATGCCAGCAGTTGGCTTCCTAGGAAGATTTTAGTTACGCATTGGACACATGTGCGGTGGCTCTGTGGCTCAGGATCTGCGCCTGGGGCTGGAAGGTTGCCGGTTCGTATCCTACGGCCAGCAGAGGAATCCTACTCCGTTGGACCCCTGAGCAAGGCCCTTAACCCCAGCTGCTCCAGGGGTGCTGTATAAATGGCTGACCCTGTGCTCTGACCCCCAGCTTCTCTCCCTGCCTGTGTGTCGCTGGGGTTAAGGGCCTTGCCCAGGGGCCCAACGGATTAGGATTCCTCTACCGGCCGCGGGATACGAACCGGCAACCTTCCAGCCTCAGGCACAGATCCTGAGCCTCAGAGCCTCTGCTCCGTCGGAATAGATGGGATGTTAAGATGATTCCTGATGCTTCTCTAAAGTTCTGGTACCGACTGATGTCTCTCTTGTAAAGGACGTGTGAAAACTGGAATTTTTTGGAAGAAACTGTAATGTGGGAAAGCAGTGGTGGGCCTGGTATGGGGATTTCAGTTGGTGACTGACATTGTGCGGAGTGAAAAGTGGTGTTTTGCCGACCCTGTGCTCCGTTCAGAGCTCTGGACGCGTCTTTTAATTTTCAGCTAGTGTTTAGAACACTCTTGTACTTGGCAAAAGAGGTCTTTTCGCTTAGTAGAGCTTAGGCAGCAGCCGGTGGTTGGTGTAGCATTCGTGCAGATCTTGACATTGGATTGACGTTTTTAAGGTACAGGGATGTCTGCCTATCGATCGAGATTCTGCTAGTAATGAAGGAGGTTGAAAGTTTCATTGTTTTTTTTTTAAAGAGGTGAAATCCAACTATAGATCGATGTTTTAGAGGCAGGTATTTAAAATGTCAATAGGAACCCAAGTTCAGTTATTCGCTGTGATTTATTGTATATAGTTTTGAGTTTTTTTTTTAATTATACTTGATTTTTTTTCACGTCCAAATGTTAAGTTTTTCTTTGACGTCAGGATTTGGATCAGATACCAGCTGACGAGCTTTACTGCAGGATCAAGGGATATTCTGCATTCAGTTCTTTTGTGTAGTGCCTTTTTGGATGTTAAGTGAAATAAGTATTTGATTTTGACTGTTTTCTTCATGCAGTGGTATTTGCCGTTAACTAGCTGCAGCTTTTTACATCAATGTGTCGGCTCTTCAAGCCACAGTCTGCCTCTTCATTAGTCCACTCACAGCTCTCATCACAGGTAGTAGTGTTCTAAAAAGGTTTTCAAACACTGCTGTGAAGTCAAAGAAAGTATTCTGGGGCCTAAGTCCTATGCCTGAAGACTGGAGACCTCTTAATGAATATTTTCTACTTTAGAGAGAATAAAAAGTAATCTTTTTAAGTTGATAAGGAACTGACCGTACTGCTCTGTCAACTGCGTTAAAGGTGTTAAAACGTTTGGGACGTTTGTCTTCTGGCTTGTAGAGGTGCGGGATAGTAATGGTGTTACTGGAAGTCATTTTTTGTTTGTTGTGTTTTTAGGAAACCAGGACTCTGGCCGAGATTGCGAAAGCTGAGCTAGATGGAATGATCTTGAGGAACAGACCCCTACGCATTCGCTTCGCCACCCACGGCGCTGCTCTGACCGTCCGGAACCTCTCTCCCGTGGTGTCCAACGAGCTGCTGGAACAGGCCTTTGCGCAGTTTGGTCCCGTGGAGAGAGCCATTGTAGTCGTGGATGACCGCGGCCGACCCACTGGCAAGGGTTTCGTGGAGTTCGCTGCAAAACCCGCCGCACGAAAAGCCCTGGACCGGTGTGCAGAGGGAGCGTTCTTACTGACCACGTAAGTGCACCCCTGCCATTGGCTGTTAGACCCTCTGAAAGGTATTCAGACCCTTGACCAGTTCTCTCCTTTTACTGAATTACCAATCCTGCATTGAAACTTAGTTCTCTGTGATATTTATATTTCTTAGCACTGAAAATTTAAATTATTTTAATGTGGCATTGTTTTGTTAGAAAATGTTCTTAAGAAAAATAACTTCTTAAGAAAGGATGGTGCAAAATATAGAGAAATACTGCAAGAGAACCTGTTTCAGTCTGGTAAAAAAAGCTGAAGCTTGGGAGAAAGTTAATCTTTCAGGAGGACAATGATCCCAGACACAAGGCCAAGGTAACCCTGGAGTGGCTCAAGAACATAAAGGTGAATATCCTACAGTGGCCCAGTCAAAGCCCTGATCTCTACCCATTTGAGAATCTGTGGCACTGTTTGAAAATTGCAGTGCACAAGCGTCACCCGACTAACCTGAACCACCTGGAGCACATCTGCCTGGAAGAATGGGCCAGAATCACTCCTGAACAGTGTGCAAAGCTGGTGCAAACTTACTTCCAAAGACTTAAAGCTGTTATTGCTGCAAAAGGTGGCTCTACAAAATATTAAATGTGGGGATTGAATACTTATGCAAACAGCATATTTCGGGTTTTTATTTTTCTCAATAATATTTTCTAACTTAAAACAATGTAACTTTAAATCATTAATTTTGCGTTTCAGTGCTTTGAAATAAAAATATCACAGAGAACAAGCTTTCAGTGTAGAATTTGTAATTCAGTAAAATGAGAGAATCGGTTAAGGGGCTGAATACTTCTGCAAGGCACGATATGTATATGATATGTAATACATAATGGAATATATTACAATGTTGAACGACAATCCTTCATCCTATTGATTTTTTCTATGAATCTTAAGGCAATGTGCCTACTCTGTCTCCAGGTCTCCACGTCCTGCCATTGTCGAACCAACAGAACAGTTTGATGATGAGGATGGTCTTCCAGAAAAGCTGTTGCAAAAAACAGCACAGTACCACAAGTATGTGTTTTATGAATGTTAATATATCCTTTTGTACTTTTATTCAATCAGTCCCAAATAAGATTGTGTTCCCCAGTTGATCCAGTGTTTTATATGTGATCGGACCCTTCATTTTTATTTTACTCTGTCAGCACGACACGCCCAGCAGGGTGTCTTTATCTTGCAGCCATGTTGCAGTCTGTATCGGAGTTCTGTATCTGTTCTCCTGGAGTAGTCAATAGTAGAAGCCTAACAAAGCTGACATTGCAGTAGGGACAGAAATGGTGGTGGCAGGTCAAGTTGTCATTGCTGAAGCTGTTGGATTTGTATGTGATTTAGGGAGTTTGTCAGACCCAAGTGAATGCAGAGTAAAAGTCCTTGGCCACAGTTAGCGATGTAGGGCCCAGCCGGACAATAGCCGGCAGAATGAAATAGTCCAGGAGCAGGATTGAGATGGAGAACCTCTTACCTTAGTGCAGTGCATTGGATACTGTGTACAAGAACAAATATTGGGAATTAATTCCATATAACATTAGGTTCGTATCGCTTAGCTGGCGATGCAGATTGAGATCTTTTTGTACATTGCGTTGAATTTGGAAGGTTTTTTTCATAGGGCTTCTACGAATTTGAATTCAGTGGCACCATGCGTGACAACATGGAAAACAATTAAAAGGACAGTAAGACCTTGATACTTACAAGGGTTAGGTTTGTTGAGGTTTTCAAGGACACAGAACTTAATACCTTGTGGGAAAAATACAGTATGATTCCACAACTCGCATGATCATAGATTTCCCTAGTGATGTTTTTTATTACTGTTAGCTACATCAGGAAAACTATTAGTAATTGTTGATGTTTTTGATGAAAATGATTACCGTAAGCTTGAAGCTTCATTTTCTGACTACTATTCAAGTTATTACATGTGCAAACAAATTGGATTGTTGCATTTTTTAAAATCTCTGTAGAGCCCATTTTCGCTTTGCATGGTTTTTGTTCCAGTTTACAAATGTAGCGCCGCTGTGCAGTAACATATTATTACAGCGCAGCAGTAATTGATAAAGTAAGTTTACTTGCTTAAAAATTATGTGGAAATAGGCGAAATTGCAAATATTGAGGTTTTTCTCTTCTTAGCATGTAGAAACTGCTAAAATATTTAGTGCTTTGTTAAGCATAGTGTGGTAAAAAGAAGACCAAATTGCCTAGCCTGTTCTTCGGTTCGGTGCAGTAGAAGAGGTAACTAGTCTGAGGCCAGGTTTAGACTTCCCCTTGCGGTGAGGGACGGCACTCACTTGACTTAGTCCGCTGTTAACTACCAAATGGGCGTGACGGCCTCCTGTTGTCTGTGAACTTCTTTCTAACCTCAAAGAGAAGATATTCATATTTGGTGAATATCAATAGTGTTGATGCATTGAAAAATTATTTTTTTCCTGAGTGAGGCACTTCAGACATCTCAGTAATTTGCCAGACGCAGCGAAAGAGTTTTATTCACACGAAGAGCTACGCAAACAGGCCGAAAGCCTGACCACTGCGGACGGGTGTCCTTCCTGTAACGGCCGCGATCTGTTTCCTGCCAGGGAGAGGGAGCAGCCGCCTCGGTTCGCCCAGCCAGGCACGTTCGAGTTCGAATACTCCTCCCGCTGGAAGGCCCTGGACGAGATGGAGAAGCAGCAGCGCGAGCAGGTGGATCGGAACATCCGGGAGGCCAAGGAGAAGCTGGAGGCCGAGATGGAGGCGGCTCGCCACGAGCACCAGCTCATGCTCATGAGGCAGGGTAAGGCCCAGCGCTGCCCAGCAGGCCAGCGGGAAGATCCCCGCCTTTTCCCCGTTCCCAGGCCTCCTGCCCGCGGCTCCCGCGGAGCCTGGAGTTCACCGGCGGCACTGCTGGTGTCGGTCAGCTGTACCGACTCCGACGCTTCCCCTAAGTGCAGAACTGGGAGGGCATGAAATTGGCATCTCGGAATAAAGAAAAACAACTCAGTTTGGTCAAGACTGAAGCGGTTTCTAAGTGATGGCTTGTACACGGTCACGGTAGTCATGATTGTTTGAGATCTTTATTTTCCGTTTTCAGTTTAAACAGCTCTTCTCATATATATCCGCGATGTTAGAAAACTGGTTTAGAAATTTTAGAAAAATGTCCCACTGCGGTAATATAGCTTTCACTTCTCAAGGTGTCTTACACCCCCCGATCGGTTTTTCTGAAACACGATAGTGAGTTGTGATTTTTGGAGGTCTGGTGATCTGGTGAGAGATGTGAATGTTTTCGTTTTGACAGATCTCATGAGGCGCCAGGAAGAGCTGAGACGATTGGAGGAACTGAGAAATCAAGAACTCCAAAAACGCAAGCAGATTGAAATGAGGTATTGTTTTACGATGCAACAGAAAAACCCGGTCGGAATTGACTCAATCCTGGATTAAGTAACTAGATAAAGTGTTAGAACATGAAACATGCATCGCATTGATCCGGTCTTAAGGGCAATACGCATTTCATCATAAAGCATATTGAAACTATAATTAGACGCATTCAGATCTATTTATAAAGTACATAACACTGTTCAGCAGAGAATACAAACGGAGAGATTTTTTTTTTTACTTTGTGTTAGTGATGTCAGTGATTATTGTTTTTGATCTAGTAAAGTTTGTGACAAACTTAAATTTATTCCAGTGTGGCAATGTCATTAAATATTCTAATTTTGTACATGATAAACAAGCACCACCTTCATGTAAACATGAAGAATATTTCATTGTTGAAAATCACTGCTTGCATCACCTCAGCATAACAATTCTCGGATGTCATCAGCATCACTCTCTGTGTTCTCCTTTTTACTGTTACTTGCCTTTTTCTGCTGGAGTGCCTTCTTTTCACACAGTCACCCTTATTCCTGCCTAATGCTCCCAGCAGGATATGCAATTCCATGTCCTATCCCAATTCCAGAGCCTATTCGCTTGTGCAGGTCGCCAAGTGTTTTTTGATTTGTCTGAGAGACTTGGAATGGGATGACCACTGAGTAAACTGTGTATACTTTATTTGGGCCTGGGATTTCTTTGACCATGAGACCTTTGTGGCTGCTATACAATAGTTCAGTTATCCTCAAGGCAACACTGTAGGGAATATGATCTTGGCAATCCTTTGATTATCAACATGGAAACTAATTCGACCAGTAGCACTTAATTATGATAAATCTTGTAAAATGGTGTTAAAGATTAGTACAAATAAAGTGTGTTTGTATACATGAAAAGTAAATGAGTGCATCAGTATCCATCTGGTGAAGTGGATGTTTTGCAATTGCAACTACATAGTTGTAGATATTGCAGCGATACATGCATTTCTTTACAAGTAGGAAATGTTTGGGCAGTTCCTACAGCTTTTCAGCACAGCAAGGAGGGTTTACTCAGATTGCTGATTTGCACAAAAATAACTGCTTAAAACATCTCGACAATGTGGCAGTAGTTCCTGATGAATCTACAAATGCTAAAGATCATTGGGGTGATCAAGAGCCTATGACACTCTGTGAATTACCCCTGGGTGCCACAGGGCGTATTTAACTGCACTCAACTGAATACGCTGGTGTTAAAAAGGAGCTGAAAACATTGAAGGATCTGAAAGGTTCTCAACTTAACATCTCAATCTCCGGACCTATGTGTAGTGAGAGATTTGTGGTTTGGTGGCAGTTCACACATGGAAACCAAAGGGTGTGTAGGACTTGGAACAATCCTGTGTGGAAGAATGGTCAGAAATCTGTGTTCTGATAAGCCGGAGCCTCATGACACTACAGGAGGCATCTAGTCAGTGGAGTCCGTGCCAGAGGAGGCTTTACAAAATACTGGCTACATGGGTGTGAATGGCTGTGAACCTTTTGGATTGATTATGACTGATATGAGTACGCTTTGTGTAGAACTTTCAAGGTTAAAAGTTTTATAGGGGTGTAAGAAGTCACCTCACAGTTTAGTATAGTTTTGAAATAAAGGAAAACCTAACCTCCCAGAGTAGGAGAAGAGGGACAGTGTTCTGTGACATCTCTAAAACACAAGCCTTTTAGAAACCAGGCACAGCCCTGGCCCTGATCAGCCTCTTATGTTACTGTAAAAATTGTGTTGAGGACAAGGACACAACACATTTTAAATAGAATCCAAAGGGGTATAAGTGGTCTAGAAATTTTTAAACTAATAAAAGTGGTTATTCTGATGTTAAGCTTTTAGATTGACTGTCATTCAAGTGTAAGAATGTTAAATCAGATAAGAACTTATCACTGGCAGTCACATAACGGGTGCTGTGCCTTCTTTTCTTAACACAAAGAAACTGAATTCCGCTGTACGGCAGTTTTGTTTAGCAAGTAACATTATCCAGTCTGTAAATCTTTGTTTCATGTTTTTGTTCTGTTTTGCTGGGGGTATGAAAGTCTACCGTTTTCCAGATTTGATGTTGGGGGCATAAACTGTCTCATTTCTATTCACTCTTAACTTGTGTTGCATCCATATCTCGGTATCGGACAGACTTCTATATAGTACTGAGAGCTTGGTAGTAGAATCACAGTTTGTACTACATTTAAATGTGTGTGTCTTCAGTATGGCAGCGATGGCAAATCTGACCGTGAGTCAATGCACACGTACTAGTATGTAATAAGTTCAGCTCGGGGTGCGCTTTACTTTTTCCTAAATGACTGACATTTACTTACTATTAATTGGTTATTTTGCTATTTTATTGTTTTTGATCCTCTGTTCTCTTAACCTCTGAATGTTTTTATAATGCTACACAGGCTTTATGATGTCATTTCTAGCAATTGTAAGACATTATTCCAAGTCACTATGGTCAGATAATCTCTAAATAAGCACAAGTACTTATAAAATGGTTAAAGGAAATATTACCAATTCCATTTAAAATAGGATTTAATATGATTTAAAAAGAAATATATTATAATGCCTTAAATGCAATGGTTTAATGTGATCATAAATATTTTAGTACTGTTTTTGCAAAAACTTTAAGACATCAAAGACAACACGAAGTCACCCAGTTTAGCAGTCTCTGCAATGGAAGCTGACATATCCTGTTTGAAAATACCAGTGATATAATCTTGCTGTGTAAACGCTGTGGCTGCACATTGCTTTCTAAGTATCTTTTTACTTGCGAAAACAGTATTGCTACAGTTTCTAAATCTCTGTACAGAATACATCAAACTGGAGCCAAGAAGACAAACACACTGGATGCGGTACAATTAGGTGTTAATGTTTTTACTTAACATCTATTAGATTACCGTGCTCTGTGCAAAATATGAAAACATTGCTAATTAAAATTAACTTGTTTACAAATGAGTAATTGAAACTACATCAAAACATGGACCCTATTAAAGGTCTTTGTAAAATCACAGTAATGCAGAAGTGCATGGCTTGTTGTGCCACACAAAGTTAACGTTGTCCTCGGTGCCGTAGAGCAAATACAACGGGGGGAAGAAAGACTTGTATTGAACATGTCTCTTGTAAACAGGAGATTGTATTTCTGACAGTTCTGTGAAATTGGAGAGCAACATCTGTCATTGGTAAAATGTGATCCGCCGTGCTGCTATCATGCTGGCGGTGTTGTATGGCACGTAGCAGTGCAGCGACTACCGTTCCTTTCACGGTGTCCGGCGCGGAGGCTCGGCTCTCGGCGGGATCCGTTCCGCTTTGCGCACCGGGGAAGGGGGGTGGAGCGTGTCTGCAGGCCCGTCTGGTGGCTCCGGGCTCCTGTCCTGACCGGCGGCGTTCCCGCTGTGTCCGCAGGCACGAGGAGGAGCGGCGCCGCCGCGAGGAGGAGCTGATGCGCCAGCGCGAGCAGGACGAGCTGAGGCGGCAGCAGGACGGGTTCAAGCCCAACTACATGGATAACGTGAGTACAAGGCAGACCTTCTCCCGGGGCCCAACTGAACCTGAGGGGTGTTGGCTGCCAAGGAGAGCCCCGAGCTGATGTGCTCCCCCCTCCCGTGTGCTGTGGTGAACATTTGTCTTTCGCATACTTGAGAAGGAGACCTGTCGTGTAATTGAGTGTCTGTTTTAGTGTTTCGAGCGCATCTTTCTGGAACACCACAGATCGGATGTCAAGAAAACAATGCCCACCTTCCTGTTTTTAGACAAGCCCCTTAACAAGTGCCTATTCCCATAACTGAGTCAACAGGGGCTGAAATTCATGCCATTTGTTTTGTAGCTGTCACACTACGCATGTAGGTTAAGTGGCTGTTATGCTGTGGTTCCAGCATATATGTCAGCTTTCATGATAGAAATGGCGTCAGATGTGCTCATGTCGAAGTTTGTGCCTTACATGTAAAGTAACTCTTAGTCAGTTTTGAGTGAAGGTGCACAGCTACACATTTTTCTGCAGTACAGTACACCTTTTATTGTGGCCAAAGCTATTGAGAGGCTCAAACGAGTCGATCAAGTAGTTGCGATATTGATCAAGAAGTATTGAAAAGTTGCTTCCTGCCTGCACACTGAATGATAGACTTCTTATCCTGATGATGCCATTAAATGATGATATGATTATCATTATTATAGTTTCCTTAAAGAAGTTAGAAAGCGTAGACTCATGGCTTACAGCAGTAGATGCTGTATTGTCAGCTGTGCCAGTGTGGCCTGCTAAAGAACCGCAAGCAGAAGCTGTGGTATCCCGTGGGTTTAGTTCTGTACTTGGTATTTCGAGAGCTTGGAATATAACCTGGGCTGCTATATGAACAGGATGGGCATTTTTCCTGTTGTAAATTACTCATTATGGGTAGCCGAAGTAAAAAATGTAGGACATCTTCATAGAAAAGGATTCTATTTGCCAATAATTAAATTATGTATAGATGTTTTTAAAATGGTCTGTTCCAAGTTGGATGTCCGATACAGTAATTCCTCGATTTGCAGAATTTAATGTTCTATGAAATCTTTTTTTGCAAGTGACAATTCTCTAAATGGAAGTTTCTTCATTTCATGCCATTATATACATACAGGCCTACAAAACAAAATCGGGATTCTCCTATGTAACATACATTTACAATGTAATCTTCTCCCTGTACTCTTTGTATACAGAATTAGCTAATGTCCTTATAGGACGGGTTTTTCATCCTACCGTGCAACAGATGCACAATGTTGCACAAAGCTGTTTTCACTGTCCTTTATTTTCCCCGCTGTATGTGACATGAGGCCTGTTTTGCACTAGCCTCAGACACTTAAACTAAGTTTTACATCTGCTCTGATAGCAAATGCTTTACAGAACCTTTGCACTTATGCTGCCACTGCCAGGATGCTTTACAGATACAGGGGTGAAGCTCTTAAAAGGTCTGATAAAAATGAAAACAATTTCATCCCCCCCCCACTGGTGTCTGTGTAATAACTTTCCGTTGAATTGCATATCTTCGCCTTTGTACAATCCAAAGCTAGCACAAGAAGTTCCATTCTCTTACATGTTTTCATTTTTAAGGGAATTCGTGAAACAATCTGTGAAAAATAATTTGAATAGTTTATGCACGTGCTGTACAATTTCACTAAGACATTTAGTCGCCGCTTGTGAATAAAATGCTGAATGTGTTGATTGACGGTCTGTTACGAATTGTTTGCATTGTGCATACAATGTAATGTGTTTAATTCCTTACCTTTTAATAGTGTTTCCCATCCCAAAGTAATTTACATGTGACTTGTCAGTGTGACACCCAGCTCAGTGGTGCACAGCAATCGCTGTGTGCCTCACTCCACAACAGATACAGGGAGAACTTAACCAGGACAAGTTTTGGGTAATCCATAATGATCAAGTAGTCAGAACCTCATTTTAGCCAAACGATGATTTCTGGTCACCATACTGGGGTCCAGTGGAAAGAGTTTGTCCATCTCGTCACCAACCAGGTCCAGCTTGATTTGGCTTTTGTGATCTGATGAAATTAGGCTTCAGAGTACACTGCTGCCTGAAATGGACTGAAGTTAAAGGTGGTTTCCGAAACAAATTATGGATTTTACTGTAGGTAATTTGCAGTGTTTTGTTCTAAAATACGCAGTGTGCAGTTTTAGATGCAGGTTGAAACTACATTTTAATTAACGTTTATTCCCATCTCAGAGTACTCCTTTGTACAAATTCCCCTTTCCATAAATTGGGGAATTACTGTATCTAAAATCTATCCCTGAAATACCAGGAATGGATGTTTATCTGCAGCTGTTCTTTTCAGTTAATGTAAAAAAGCCTTATGGTATTTTTTTACTTAAGTGAAAAGTAAAATAAAGATTGAAAGTAAAGTGAAAAGTAAAGAGTAAGATTCTGATGTCTGATTTTGTGAAAGTTTTGCATTCAATATGACCAAAACATGCACTAACTACATGTTTGATATTACTTAGATTGTTGGTTGAAATTATCCCTCTATTTTATTGAAGGATTTTTTTCCTAAGAGAAATGATCTTGAGCTTGGAAAAACCTCTTACTGCCAAAAACAACATAATTTGTTTTTCTTGGGAGGTGTGTTGTTATTAAATATTCTGTTCTTAGACGCAAGACACATTTTGAGATTTCGAGACTATTTCTGTGGGTTTATATTATTACTGAAAAATACACAGATACACATTGATTTACCCTGTGTCCTTTTCCACCATAATTTAAAAAGATGTAGAACATGTAGAACAACTGCATACTTCATTCCAAAAATGTTCATCAAAACTTTAACTAGACATTAGTCCTTTAATGCTTGTATGCAGTATTTTGTGTGTAATGTCATGATATTGATTTATACAACCATTCCTTTCTACCTGGTATTATTCAGCAGTCTCTTATTAACAGCTTCCCTTTATAAATGGCAAAGCTGTTTTGACATTTGAATCACAGAAATGGTTTAGTACTGTAGATTTCCATATTACTTTCTTACTGGGTTGGGAAACCATTTTTTAGAGATTTTCTTAATTAAAACAGTTTAGAATTTTAGCAAATTAAAGTTATTTTTTTTTCCAGAAATGTATTATAGTGGCATTGGAGTTTCTTTTGAAAGTGGGTTATCGATATATAGTGCCATATTGTCTTGTAATACTGTGCCTAACTTTGTGACTTTTTTCTTTCATTGTTACCTAAAGATCATAAAGGCTGACGGCGGAAAGTGGCTTATTAAACTGCTTTCACTCCACTGTGCTATACCTAGGATCAATAAGCTGGCTGTATAGAAATACATTGTCCTCAGAACCAGCATTAATAAGTAAACGTAAAGGACTGAAACTAGTAGGAATTCTGATCAGGAGATATGCAAGGGGGAGGAGGCTTGTGCATAAACAAAGCTTTCAGACTAAACATCATATATGTGCTATGGAAGCTTACTGTAGAAGAGTTTGATGATCTGAGTGCATTCTAGAATAATGAAATTTAGTGTTTCAGAGTTATTTGTACCATCTTAGCCAGTGTTATTTTTATGATGGTAAGTATGCTCTAATCAAGCTTTATTTTTTGTGTTGTGGATTCCACAGTGATTGGTAGTCCAATGACTAACTCAATTTTGGGAGAATTGAATTAAAGCAGATATTTTAATATGAGACCTTTGCACCATTGTAATATAAAAAGTTTGTATGAACATAAACATAAAAGTATTTTAAACATTTTTAAGCAGACATTTTGAAATCAAACAATTGTATGAGTCAGTTTTCTAGTTTCTTTAACTTAATTTCTGTATTTTGGGCACTTTTACTGTCCCAGAAGCAAATTTCTATGAGACATGTCTGAGTACTTATTCTCTGACAGCAGTTGAAATTCATAGTGCAATACTGCCTTAGAACTGAAGTTATTTTGTATCCCTTTGTAATAATATGAGAAGGGTTTAATATCCTGTTTTTATAGTGATCTTCTATGTTTACAAGGGGTTCCACATATTTCTAAAATTAATGGTGTTTACAAAAACTGTTCCAATACATTCCTGAAGAATGTCACAATGTGTGCGAACCTTTATACACACAGACATAAGTATGGAATGAGAGTGAAAGCTACTTTACTCGAGTCATTTAAGTAATGCTAGCACATCTGAATTTACTTTTACTAGTTTTTCTATTACTGTATGTCCAGTTGTGCTCCAAGAATTACATTGTAAACAATTCTGCAATCATTACCGTCTATTCCATTCAAGGTGTTCAATACCACCATTGTCATACCTTATCATTCACCTTTAAGACTATAACATTTTCTTTCATCTTTCACTAGTATGTGCTTTTCAGTATGTGCATCCATGCAATTCTATGTCTTACATAGGATGTTGCATGGTATAAGTCTTTTTGTCATCTCAGTGTTTTTTGCCTGTTTAGCTAGTTTAATCAGTACTAATCTAGTACATTACTTATCTTTTTTTTCCAAAGGGTGCTGTCTATACCCTACTATATTATAGCTTAAATAGTTCATCTGAAGATTCTATCTTTTGTGTTTAACATTTGTTTTACAATGTCCTTGCATATCTGTACCTACTCTACATGTCTGCTTTTATAACAAATTATATACATCTTCAGTTCACATTCTACACTCCACCTGTCACTTTGTTCAGAGTATGTGTTAATCCAACTCCTGTCTTTTCATCCCTTTTATTTACTTCTATGGGGAACAGGGCTATTTTCTCCATTCACATTATTATCCAAGTTTATGGAGTTAAATTGTAATCCTCATGATCCTTTCTGAATCGAAACTTATAGATGCTTCTATAAGAAGTTAAGCCTTGTAAAGCATGTAACTTTGAAATTCATCTTTTATGTCGATTGCATGGTCTGATGCATGTACTTTTATCCTCACTTACTTCATTTTTTAAAATCTAACAGGCCTGCATTTTAAATGGATGGATCTGTAGTCTTCATTTGTATTGTGTTAATTTTACAATACTGCATTCTAAGGTTTTGCTAATAGTCACTGAACAAGGAACTCTAGGATATTCCAGTGAATTTATTTGTACTCCACATAATGTCCCATTTTCCATTTATATTATTTAGCTTTATATTAAGATTCTTTTATATTTTAATCATTGTTATTCCTAGTGTGGTTTTATCAGATGCATAATCCCCTGATATTCTCTGAAGTATTTCTTCTTGCCTGACTATGAATGAATCTTTTTTCATATTTTTGGACCAGCTTCGCAAGTGTGGTGATTGTATTAACTTTTTGTCTTTGTTCTTTAGAATTGCTCTAAGTGCTTTCAATGAGTCATTAGTTGATCTTTACTTTTGAAGGTTTATCCATGTTTATTCAAAATGTGTGACCTCCCTAATTCAGTTACCCAAATCGGTTAATTTGCATTTTACATGTGTCAGAACTCGTGTGAGCAATCATTTTATCCAGTTTTTAAACTTGCATACCATGAAGTGCTGTTATGTTGCAAATGATCCTGAATAAAAGTTAACTTGGTGATATCAAGAGGATCTACATCTTCACATGATTCTCTGAGGGTTAAAAGTTAAGATCTTGAGTGGTGCCCTAACTCCTTGCACCAAGTGTGTCATTACAACTGATTTCTCTTAAGGTACAGCATGGTATTAGAGCAGTGCTTTCAAGTTTCATTGTTTATGCATTGCTTAAAAGCACTGCAACTTCTGCTTGACTAGTAATGTGTTGGCTCCAGTGAGTAGTTTGCCAACTTTTAATTATATTTTCTGATAGCCTTATAGTTGAGATGTGGGCCAAGACGATGACCTTGGACTGAAGCCTCCTTTTTCCCCACCTTTGAGTGTGAACGCGAGTGAATTTCTAGCAGGGTAAATGTATTAGTAAAGCTTCCTGCCACATTTAGACTTTGCACCTGTTCTTTTGATGATTCATCTCAACCCCGTACAGAAAGCTCAAGTCAAAAATATTAACGTCCAAACTTTGGTGGGGGGAGTTATGATTGAAAAGGATTTAAAATAAAAATTATACATATTTTCATTGTTTGTTAGTGGTACAACTGCACAGTAAATTTAGAAAGCTTTATACATACCCTGACAAGCAAGCATAATGGACAAATAAGAAAAATTTAACTCCTTATTAAATTCTTTATAATTGTAACTAGTACTTTATTTATTTTTCCTTAAAGATTGTATGATTTTTTTTTTTTTACTTTTGTGGATTTATGAAAATATTTTGCATCTTGGGTTCAAGTCCTTTCCTTTGTTTGTAACCTGATATTCATGAGTTCTTTTCTTGGCTCCGAAAACTGCCATCAAATCTTTTGCATGTTTTTTGTCTTAAAAAAATCTGTTCACCCACATTCCACTAAAAGATGTTAGTCTTGCAAAACTCCACAGGTGTGATTTCCCCATTTAGAAATGTCCATTTCCACAACCAGCCTTTTTTGTGTATGACCCTGCTATAATATTCCGGGTTATGTTTCTTGGGTTTTCAACTCGCAGTGATATTTTGGATGAAATTGGAAATAAGTTATGAAGAAATGTGCTAATTTTACAGAGTCAGAGTTAGCGACTCATTCATGTTTTATTTCAGGCACTACCTTGTTGGCGTGAATTAACAGGAAGCCATACTGTATTTCAGATGTCCAGCCTAGGATGGAATCTGGCTCTGTGGAAAACAAAGTTAAAAGTCACTTCAGCACAGCCTTAGGGCAGTAAATATTTTAACTTTGAACATGCATCAGTATCATTACCACCATCTCGCCTTATCTCAAAAGATAAACTAGACTGACCCGGGTCAGTATTGTGATGAGATCCCCCAAGGAAAACCAGGTGGCTGCTGTAATTGGGGTTGGTGGACCAATAAGACAGTTCACTAAAAGTGTTCAAGGACATTTTGCTATCGTTTGGTTAACACGAAGTTCTGACTGGGGCCGTTACAAATTCTAGTTTACTGTTCTTAGAGCAGTTAACACTGGTGTCCAAGCTAAATTTTGTACTTGCACAGTCTGGCCTTCCTCAGTTCCCCCTTATTTCAGGTGGCCAAATGCCTTACTTTTCCACCTGGTCTGTTATGGTGGAGAGAGGCACTTGCAGGCCAATAGTGGCCCAGTTGAGTGTAGCGTGTTCCTTCATATATGTAAAGTGCTTCGGCACCCTTTTAGATAAAAAGCACCATTTAAGGATTTGTTAGGTTATTTAAAAAGATGTCAATTTCAAGTGGCAATAAAAATTCCCTTTGTGGTCATTTTAAATCTCTTCATAAAAGAAATGTACTTATCTCTGCAGGTGGGTAAAGGCTACTGCTAATGCCTACTGCTTATAAGTTTTAGAAATGATCACACATCCTTGTGTGTGCTGTCATTCAGCTTGGAGTGGTTGTATCCACATTCTTCACAGGATTTCCCATCAGCAGTTAATTCACACAGGGAGGAAGTAACAGCTACGGGTTTGTGTGGTGCCAACTCTCAAATGAGGGTGGTGATTGGGTAAAAGTTGGTGTTAAACTGTTTAGAACAGGGCTTTTTATACCACTTTTTAAAACAATTCCTGACCAAGTGTGCTGTTTACCTTACATTTTTGAATTACAATTTCTGTATGGATGCTTGTTCATCTTTTTTTTTTGCCTCAGCATGGAGGAAGATTTATCATACAATGTTTAAAGAAATCTGCAGTGTGCTGAGTTTTAAAATTGAAGTTGCGAATAGTCTTACTTGCAATGCAAGTGCCTTCTTGGAAACATACAGAAACTCTAAACATTAAAATTGATTTTTTTTCTCTTCTGAAGTGTTAAGCCAGACATCAAAGCTTGTTTATCTAAAACATGAACCCACTGAAGATGTTCAAGAGATGATTGCATTGCATCAAGCACCATACTTGTCTTCCTCTATGTGATATAATGTATTTGTGCAGTAAAAAAATAGTATTGCAATTTGCAAATAGATATCTTAAAGGGGAATTTGTACTGCTTAGTTTTGACACTGCAACCCATTGTTTAAAGAATCCCATGTTCCTTTGCACTTGTGCATAAAAAGCAGTTGAAATGATCACAAGCCACTCTCCTACAGCAACTCTTGTCATCCAACCGGTAGTCACATCTGTTGCACCTGAGATTTTCCAGAGGTTGGCAATTAAAATCTGCTCTATAGACAGGACATGAGAATGGGTGACCAGGGAAAATAAGGGTTCGGTATCTGCAAAGAGCTGACTTTAAATTGGACATTTTATGCACAAAACTAACAATTAAGCGCATCAAAGGGGAATGTTTGCAAATCTGTTATGCTTATGTGCTTGAAAACTACATAAGTATGTTTAGAAATAGTAGAATTAACATCGGGTGTATGGCAGTGTATATATGGCAGTGTTACCCTGAATATTTTAAAGTAGGTGTTACATGTTAAACCTTTAACAGCATAATGTACAATGCCAGTTTTGCTAAAAGTGTTTTAAAAAGAACTGATACTTTTTGAGTAGTGTTTTTAACCTGTTTTAACGTCATTTAAGCAGTTGTGAAATAATATCAAGAAATCCAGAAGAAATTTTGAGTTGCTGTTCTCTTAAATGGAATGGCCTAATCTACTCTAAAAAAAAAGTTTGTAATCCATACCTCTGTTTTTGAAATGTTAATGTGATTCCACAGAATGAGTTTAAGTGAGGAATAAAGATGATCCACTATTTAGTTTCCCAACATATAATGCAGTTTAAAGTGTTTAAAGATTTTTTTTAATTCTTTTGAGAGAGCCTCCTATAACTGTGTTCTAATGACGTTATGCTAACAATGGATGGACAATTCCCTTCAGGTAAATAAAAGTAGTGTTCCTTTAGTTGGTTAATAAAACTACAATTCAGATCTAGGTATTGTTTTATTTCAATCTGGAATGAAATGCGAAAGTGTGGGTCTAAAAAAAAGACTGGGTGTTTCCCTTATTTTTGTGTTCGATGTCCGATATTAATATATACCTTCAACTGCCTCTGAGCACCTTACCTCCTTCAGAGTACAGGTCATAAAATAAAGGAATTGGGTGCCTTTTTCACACACTGAAACTCTTTTACGTTTAATGTTTTCAAGGTTTGTATCTGTTTTTAGATTCTTGAAATGGTAATAAGTTGTGTTGGATGCTAAGCAGATCTTTTTATCACCCTGGAAAATATTCAATCTGGAGCAGTTTTTGGTGAACAGACTCTGAAGGGGTCTCATGATAAACATAAGTTAGCAAATGAAACATTTTCATCCTAAAACTGCCTCAAACTGCTGTTTGAAGTTTTGTCTGGAAAAAGAAACATTATTTCTATAACGTAATTACAGCTGTGATAAATGGTTTATTTTAAAAAAGTATTGTTCATTTTCCTATATATACATATCTATGTTTCTATGACTCAGGCAGCATTTTCTTATAGTTGGAGTTTTGTCATTTTTATATTTTGCTTTTCAAAACAGAAAAATTGAATGCAAATTTCCTGTTATGTGGACTGAATAATTACCAGGGGTCCAGTTTAAAGTCTTAAACACACTTACTTTGTGTCAGTACTGTGTTAGGTTGACTGTGCAAACTTTCTACTTCCAGAGAGAACAGGAAATGAGAATGGGTGATATGGGTCCCCGTGGAGCGATTAATATGGGAGGTAGGGACCTGAAGTCACGACAAAAGGCGGCTGTGTTCGGCTTCTTTTATGTCTTGTGCAATGTTTGGGACTGTACATTATATGCAAATATGTGATCTTGGTATCTCTGAAACGCTGTCCATATCTATAACCCAGTCCAGCAACTCAACTCAGTGGTTTTCTGTTCGCTGGTGCCTGATTCTCTACATGCAGTGACAAAATCATCGGCATGATCATTGCCTTTCTGCCACCTCTTCACCCAGAACCTAGTCGCTAGTGCGGTGGGTCGAACTGGCAAAGTGGCTTGACTGGGTCGACGTGCTGCTGTTTTCTCCCAGGGCACCGTGACCCCCTCATACATGGGAACTCCTGGGGTTAGGTGAGGTTTGAGGTGCAAAGCATCTTATTAGTGAAGTACGGATTTCAGGTTTTTTTCTTATGAATTGCAATGCAAATTAGTTTTCCTCCTCTCTGTAAACCACAGGCAATGTACGTATACATTTATTTTTTTATTCGATCAACTGTGATGTACTTGCCTTGATTTGTAGTCTCTACATCCACAGGTGCAAGGTTTTCCGTATTCCTTACATGCTGTAGTCGTGTATGCTTTTCAAAATTACATAATGAGCACTGAATCTAAGGAAAATAATGCTGTTAATTCAGTATACATTGATACACAGTGATTTATTTTTATTGCATTTCACCTGCAGTTCCCTTATGAGGTTCAGATCGGCTGCTGCTCATATGTGATGATTCCTACCTGGTCAGGTGTTCACCACTTTCCAAACTGCCGAGCAGCGCGTTTGTGTCGCCTTTTTTCGCATTTTTCGGTTGGATGTAATGAATGCGGTGGGGTCTTCTACTAGGATAAATTTATCAATCATAAATCAAGAACTTGGAGTACATTTTTTTTTTGCTGAAACTGTCAGTTTAGTTCCATGTGCTGCTTCATTCCACCACATTCCCGCGGTGTCGCCTTTATTTAAATGTGCAGGTGAAATGCTTCCAAACACATTTTTTTTCTTCCAAAAACAGAAGAGAAGGCTGTTTCATTTCTTAAATAGGAAAAGCCTTTGGTACTAGGTGGCTTGGCCATCACTCAGCATCCCAAACCCTGTTTCTCGAAGAAGTCCCTGAAGCGCTCTCATGCGGCAACTCATTTCAGAGATTCATTCTTCCTGTTGGCTGTTTTAAATCATTCTCGCATGACCTTCTGACGCGTAAAACCTGCGGCTTCCATCTTTTCTGTTGAACTTCCCTGATGTGTTTTGTCTGAAAAATCTTACCATGATTATATCTTTTAAAGCCATTGATCTTACTTTTGTATTTTGTGTGTCTACTCGGGACATCACTCTACTTTCCCTTTGCATACGAGTAAACTAATACGGTTGTGAAAAATATGAGAAATAATATGGTACATTATGCTGATACTAAGATGCAAACTGGAAATTTGCAGTATAACCTCAAATTGTGTGCCATCAGTTCTGTTGCTCATAAATAAATCAGACTTTCAGACATTTTATTGCATAGCATGCTGTAGATAAACAATAATTACCAGTTTTAAATCTCATTATTTTTACTTTGCATTACCTATGTGATTCTTTAATGAAATGTATGAAATCCTTATAAAAACTGGAAGAACGTTTAGGCATTGAAACAGTTCTTCCCAAATTGTGCCGTTAATGTTTTAACGTAAATGGCTTCAGAAGGCTTCGAGGCAGTTTCATTCTGCGTGTTATTCTAAGGTAACTCGAATACAGCACCAATCACATTGTATTCAGTACTGAGCTTCACCTATGTTTGAAATGCACTCCATAAGGTGCCTTTGGTATGGTTACTTTTCCACAACTATAATGAGGCTCCGGTTTTGTAAGGTGCTGTTCATGCTGGAGAATCACAGTAACTGTTCAACGTTTTGAGTTTGGACACTTTACTCCCCTGGAGAAATTTGTCTCAACCCATAGTTGTGCATTATTCACAAGTGTAACCTTAATTCCACAAGTGTAACCTTAATTCTCAAATAAGTTCATGTGAAATTAAGGGTATGTTTCTTTAGGACATAAACTTGATCATATCCTTCTTGATTCTAAATGTGAATTTTGAAATTATTTAGGTTCGAAGCCTTTTCTCGTCTGTCTTCTATACTTTTCTTTTTTGTATAATTGTGTTATCGGTAGCATATTGGAGGACTTCAGACTGTCAGACAGAATTTAAAACACTGCTGTGGTATAACACGTACTTGGGCTGTCTTGTAAGTGGTACTAAATGTGTGTGTGCTTGTCAGTGCATCACAACATTAAGTTATATTCTGTAACTTGCAACTAGGCTTATCACTTCTTTCAAACAAAGTTTTAGGATGTGTTTTAAAACCAGTTTGTCCTGTGCAAGGTGAGATGCCTTTGTATTATGCCTGATATTATGCTACCAAGAAGGCCTTTTAAAGATTTCATCTTTGTATGTCCATTTTTCTTAGTTTCACGTGGCAAAAAAACATTCCTCAGTTTGATGGAGTCTGTTGCGTATGCTTAAAAGCGCTGCTTCAGGAAGCGTTTGCTCTTACTACAGGGCAATTTAATGTGCAGTCCCAAATATTTGAACCCTCGTCGTTAGATTTGAAATAAAATAAAAGGAGCCTCACACAGTTTGTCCTCCACTTTTTACTTTTAATTCTTTTATACTGCTTTAGCCTGTCGCCTATCGCTTTGAGTAAAAGAACGATTGTTTTGCATAGATACTTATAGCCCAGCAGCTGCTGGTAACCAAGGCCCCCCTCAAATGATGGGTATGAATATGAACAACAGAGGAGCAATCTCTGGCACTGCATTGGGACCTGGTCCTGCCATGGGGCCAGAGGGAGCACCAAACATGGGAACGCCAATGATACCCGATAACGGAGCCATGGTAACGTATTCATGGAATCATTTGCTTACTGTGATCGTTTTTTTTCCTCCCTCCCCTCCCCCCCTCATCGCGGGCGTTTGTACATGAAAGTGTGTGTCCTGGTAGAAGAAGTGTCCACATGGCAGCTTGTTCCTCCTGAAGATCAGGGCTATGAGTGCTCTTAGTGTCCTGATGCAGAACTGAAATGGGATTTCACTTCGGAGGGCAGGCGCGGTCCAGGAGATAATGAATGCCATCACAGCTGATCTTTGGCATTTTAAAGCCTTTAAGCTTGAATACAGCATTTCTGTATGTTCTTCAGTAATTCTGTATCCTGGTGTGCTCGGCATACCTCCTCTCATCCAAAATTGTAGCATTAAAACAATTTATATCGTTATTGTTATTCTATTATTCATTTTTGACATTGATTTTTAAAGTCACCATCTTATTGCATTTGCTCAGGTGAATCCCTTCTTAAGTTTGCCATGTATTTCAGAAGTGGATTAGGCTTATATGCATTAATCTATAATTGCCTATTTAATGTTTTACTTGCCAGGCTTTAATTTGCCTGTTGTTGGTTTTACCAGTAGCACCCTTCTCCCATAAGAGGCAAATGAGGACCATCTGTGCATTTCACCAGCAAGCCAACCTATCAAGAGTCCATCATTTGATAATGTGTTGCTATTACGAGATCCCCAGTGTTTTACTCTGTGAGAAGAAATATATACAGGAATAACATAAAATTACATTTGTGAAGGGTGTCATTTTAAAAATCAGAAATCACCTGTCACTTGTAGTTGCCCTGATTTCTTGTTCATATACTTTAGGGAACTTCAAAATATTTATACACTTTGGAGTCTTAAAAAAACTACTTTTATGTACTGTATCTTCATAATAGAGTTGCTTTAACAGCTGTGAAATAGACACCACTAGGCTTTAGGCAGTACAGAAGAACCGTAGGTTTCAGCTGCACATGGTTGGCACAAGTTCTCAAGCAGGAATATGATTTTACTTGCATAGACTCACCGTGTACATCTTCAAGATTAATAATTTATTGCCAGTTACTTAGATGTAAAACATTTCTTGAAGACTATAATCCAGTACTATAGGTTTTTAATTTGAGTTTTTTCTTTGGAAGAATGGCATATTTCTTTGATCTTTTTTATTGTTAGATTCTTTTTACTAAAGCTTGTAAGAACATGTTTGCCATTCTGTTGCCTTATTTCATTGGAATGCGTTCTCTTAACCTTATGTCTTCATAAGACATCTGTACAGCCAAAACTAGTATCCGATCTAGCGATGATTTAAATGGAAATAAAGGGCAAGTTAAAATGCTCAATGATCCTGTGGCTTCAAGACCGGATTACCAATTTTTAGCCCTTGATTTTTTGCACAAGCAGTGCGTAAATATGCTTCATATGTGCGGAGTTCTGTATTCTTAATTACTTAAGAGTTCAGTAAAGCTGTATCCAGCAAAATATTCATTCACACATAAACATTTATGTTCTTGGAAGTTCGGCCTTTCTCAGTTTTAATCTCTTCAGGCATTTTTTTATCTTGCATTTAGTCTGTACTGTTGTATAGTCTTGTAACAATTTTAATGTATAATATTCTTATCAAGTATTACTGGGGTATTCTTTCATATGGCCTGTAAAATCTAAATAGTGATTAGAAATTTTCATAATAGACTGGTGGTAAAAGGCATCAGAGAGGCTGATATAATAATGCTCAAGGTTGCTTTAATGGTTAAAAGTACGTTTCTTCCATAGGCTGAACTGTCACTTCTGTAGTGGTTATTGATATGAAAAAATGAAGCTTCAGTCTGAAAGTTCAGACGCTTTTATCTTGTGCTTTAATGCATTATGCTAAAGATTAAGAGTATATGGATATCATAATGTCCGAAATTAGCCTGGAGACTCTGCCCTTCTAACGCCTTTTCTCCACCTTTATTTTTTTTTTATAATCTATAGTTGGCTGTAGCAGTCTAGATTTTGAGTGCACAGGACATGTCAGGGTTAAAGCTTTTTAACGGTGAAGTTTACAAGCTCTCATTGATCAGCGATTCAAAAATCCAAATAACTAATGAAATGACTCCTCTCTTCCTTCTCATTGTTTGTTCCTGGTACTGCTCGGACTGTCTGCTGACCTTCCCGACGGCAACACTTGGAATATTGGAATGTTTTTTTAATCCCGTTATTTTCCTGGCTGTCGTGGCATCCATCGACGGACTGCATGTTCGTTCTCGAACCGAACGCTGTAGCGCAGTGATAGATTCCCGCAAGGTGGCCCCCCGCCCATGGGCTCCCCGCTGGTCAGCAGGCCCGGTGTTGAAGCTCAGCAGGCACCCATGGTTGGTGCTGGGGCTGTGGGGGGCGGGCCTGGGGGGTTTGGGCGGGGGAACCAAGGGGGCAACTTTGATGGACCTAACAAGCGTCGTAGATACTGAGCTTTCCGAGCCCTTAAAGTGCATTCCAGCTTCTCTACAGAGAGTAGACGCCCCTTCAACGTCCGCTAAATGTTACTCGTTTTATTTTGCAGATAGTTTTAGCATTTGTTGTCAGTGTAATTTGCAGCCTGATTTGTAGGTATCATGACTCCTGCGGTGTAGCAGCACAAACATTTCTATTGGCAAGTGATGAATGTGGACATGATTTGGCTGTATCTTGTACAGTTTTACTGGAAATGGAGGAAACAAACAAAAAAAAAGAGCCTGGCAAGACTTTTAGACTTCCATTATATCGAAATCTAATCATTTGCTGAAGATCCACAGCTGCCTTTGGCTGAGGTGAAGATCTTTTAGAGTTGCTGAAGTCCTAAAAATTGTGAGGAAAGTGACGGTTATTTTCGCAAATGAAATCCTTTATTTTAATTTAAAGCCATGGATATAGCTCTGGACTGCTTTCATCATTTCAGCCCCATGTGACCAGGATGTTTCTTTACTTTGTGATATGTATTTTTTTATTTTGATTTAGTTTTGATCCTAATTGAAAGCTGCATTGGTACCTTGCTGTAGTTAGTGTTTTCAATGTAAAATGCATGCATTTATTTCCTCTAGGGCATCAGTACTTTATCTGTGGACAGTTTTGTTTTTCTTTTCGGTCAACGTTTTGTTCTAGCAATACTTTAACAATAAAATAATTTGAAACACTAGTTGTCTGCAGTTGTACTTGAAAATGTTAATGAAATTCAGTATCGTTATCTCATGTAGATTGCAGTTTGGTATCATCCATACTACTGGGAAGTATTTGATAGATAAAACCTTCTACGTGCTTGTAACTGAAAATTATTTTTGGCACTTGGGTGTGTTTTTCTTTTGAAAATGGCTTTGCTTGTACACTGGGAAGAGGATTGGAAAAAAATACAGCTGTCCTTTCTCCTGGCATTTTGTAATTCTGTTCACTCAAAGCTGAATGATTTTCGTTTTTTCATCTTTTATCTTAAGATGATCTTTTTAGTAGTGTTGATGGATCACTGGTGTAAGCTAAAGTAAATACCTGTGAAGCACTGACACAAGGTGAGCATCTAAATCAGTTCTCCTCTCAAACCTTTTTCAATAATGATGGCACCAAGGAAAATCTCTTGGTAATCAAGGAAATAAACGTTTTCTACATAATTGTGCATCCTGTGTACTTTTTAAGTAACTACGCCAAGTGGAACTCACTGTGGTTACTTGACAGTGGGAAGAAAACATACTTTTAATCCTGGATTATGGATTTTATGTAATACTGAGGGTTGGCTACAATTGTTTTTGTTAAATGTAACGTGTGTATTCCTTCAGTAAAGATAAATGGGTCCTATATAACAGTGTGGGTGTCTCCTGTAACAAAGTTAGGGTTACAGTACTATTTTCAAATATCCTTGAATATCCATGTTTATTACAATATCCCAGCATGACTGAGTCAACAGTTAAGTACCTCATTATTGAATATCTCAATTCAATAGAGTAATTTTTAAATGAATGATTTTTTTTGACTAAGTGATTATATTCCCCACACTAAATAAAAGCTTAGAATGTAATGCCATTTCAACAGATTATTCATCTCATTTGATCTCAAAACCTTTATATTCCTTTATCTATTTTTTCCTGTTGAAATTGCATTGGTATGGTTTTGAAACTTGCTTTCAAATAAGCTTTTTCTCCAAAATATTAAGATTTGTTATAGGGTTTCGGCTAATACATGAAATTAGGAGCAGCAGAATGTCAAAAAATATACTTCCAAACGGATAATGCATTTTCAAATGTTGTAATATGTAAAACGTGGAAAACTGGAAAATAATTTTTTATTTATAATAATAAGATGCTGTCTCTGTGCCATTTTTTACTTGCTTATCCTTGTTACGATGAAAAATAAGTATCATGAATGGTTACACTAGGCCTAAATTAATGGGTGAAGTACAGTGGTATTCAAAATACACACAAGATGCTCTTTAATGTGTGTGTGTGTGGTTGAGGATTAGGAAAGATATTACTAACTGAAATTAATATTGTGTGTGCACTTTCCATTTTCATAATTGTAGTTGTCTTAATCTCCATTTTGCAGTCATCTGTGAGGATATAAAGATCAGTCCTGAAGTAAAGGTTTTGATTATTTCAAATAACCCTTTTCTGCTTTTTGTATTCAATTTCATTGTTTTGTTCATTTACATTTTAAATGTGTCCGTTATAAGTTATCTGTAACTATCAGTTTCATGAAAATCAAAGGTCTGCTTAGAGATTTTAATGGTCTTGTAAAGCCATTTTCTATGAGTTATTTAAGTATGTACATGAGTTAATGGATATATTGAGAGACCACAGCAAGACCTTTCACCCAGGAAAACAGAAGATAGTAGGCACTTTATTATAGACTTCCCTTGTTGACATTGTAAAAGCATGTCTAATATGTATTGATGCGGCTTAGTCACGGCTACTTAGGTTGCAAACAGTATACCTGTGTCCAAAATCATTCTTGATGTTTTTAAAAGGTGATTTTCATGCTTTTGTGAAGCTTTTAGTTGAGGATAAAACACCTTTGCTGCAGATGACAAAAGCTTTTAGTCATCAAACTAAACTGTTTTAGGTATTCTTTAGAAATGACTGTCTACAATGCCCGATGTATAATTGTAGTTGTCAGATTATTTTTTAAAGTGAGGTGGTTTTAAAGACCAATTTTTACTAATGAGGTTATGAATTTAAACAAGCACAATAGCTCGATTGCCAACCATGGGCTTCACAGACCCACAAAATAATATCAAGGTTTAAAACTTAAAAAAAAAAAAGAAAAGTCGTATTTATATCCCATTTGTCTTAGTGTCATTTGAACTGGAATGGAAATGGGGTCAAGAATAAAATAAGTAATGCAAGCCTCAGTGCAAATTAAATAAGATATGTCATAACCAAATGCTTATTTTAAAGGCTTGAAAGTTTTAAAAAAAAAATCTATAATGTCCACATCTAATAAGGACATTGCAAAGGGTCAGTTTGCATACTATGAAAGTTTTTTTCCTTCTAAACACAAAATCATAGAAAACTCAATTACATTGCTCGTCATGCAATTATATTTTAATGTAAAGACCTTGATTCGTTCTGAAAGGTGCTGATTCCCGGTGTTGAGTCTTGGGTTTCATGTGTGACGTGGGTTGACTGAAGTATGTATTGGAACTGAGGCGTTAGATGGCCTTTCCACTGGTACCCCCAGATTTGTGTGGTTTGGGGTGCTTGTATATAAAGTACATACCGTCTGCAAACTTACTCCATGCACACACATTTGAAGTTTCTTGAAGCGTAGATTTGTTCAAATCACAGATCACTTCAGCATTAACATTTGCTGAACTAGGTCATAATTTTTTACTGTGATAATTTTAGCAGTCCTGCCTTCTCCTTTTTAATACTGATGAACTACTGTCATAATTTAGTATGGTGTACGTTCGTCTGTGTTACTCAGCTTCATTTTTGTAAGACCCAAACTTATTACAGACCGCAATTCCTGTCTGAAAACAGTAATATTCTGGTTTCGAATTCCTTTTCAACTTCATTATCCATTTACATAAAAATGCAACATCGTTTCGATGACAGTTTAAAGCCAGGTCCTGTCCGCAAATGACAGAAGTAATTTAAAACTTGACAACAGTTTAGGCTCTGAAGAAGGGGCGATACCTGGATTGTGACAGTTCTGGAGCGTGTTTAGCATTCGCAGAAGACCTCTAATGTGTGCCTTATAACAGGAATTGGACCTGTTATATTTTTTGTTTGTTAGTTTATCGGCAGTGGCCCCAATAGTGATACTTGACGCATGTTAAATGTCACCGTGGTTTATAAAGGAGAAGAATAAACGGCAGCCAGTATCGGCTGTACGTTCGCCTGCCTCCATACGCCTGAACACAAAAACCCCGTTCGCGGTTCTGCGTTAATTAAATGAACTCCGCTTGGGATTTTAAGTGCTTTGTGCTAATATTAAATTGAACAATGCCAGTATTTGTTTAAATACGATTGGGCAGTAATACTAGTTTGCACCAGTTCCTGGGTTTTTAATCTACATTAAACCCCAGGTTTTGAATTTTTTTAGTTGCCAGGCCCTTAAAAGCTGCCTGAAGTATGTCTTGGTGGAATTATCATACTGGCAGTTTTGGAATTTTTTCTATGGAGTAAATTTCAAAGCGAGTTGCTTTGTAAGAAACTGCATGCAGGATTGCACAGTCACTTCAGTAATGTTTTTCTTTTCACAAAAGCCGTCTACCCCCTTATTGTTGCATCTGTTTTGAGTTTTAATGAGGTGCTCTTTATGCTTCCTTCAAATTTTCTGATCAGTCTTCCAAAGCACAAATTAGCATTACCTAACATTTAGAGTTCATGTGCATTAAAAAATGCAAAACTGTCCGAATGAAGGCTCTAATGAGTCTCAATAGCACTCAGTAGCTGTATTTTTAAAGGCTGTTGATTCAGCCCAAACTGTTGTTAGGGAGAGCCCATGATGCAGATGCAGACCTGAAGGCGTCACAACCAACATCTCACTGACCTGTAGTCTCTTTGAATTTTTCACTTAGCTGGTTTCTGTGATGGCAGATGTAGTCTCTTATACTATGAAAGGTTTTTTTAGGGCTAATGTTACAGAAAGAAACCGTTCATATCGTTGACCCTGCTAATTGCAAGGGCCGAAAGGAATATGCAGCTGCAGCTTTGGACAAAACAGAATTTGCTAAACCTCAGAAGTCAACAAAGCATCTATTTTGTTCCATATTTTCATTTATGTTTGACCTAAAATGTATTTAGATCTTCATTACAATCTTAATAAAATAATAATATAACCTGATTCAACAACACATTGACTTAAGATATATTTAGATTTAACAGAATGGTCCAAAAATAAATATCCTCATTAGGACTTGTGTACATATTCATTGAATTCCGTGGTTTGTGCTCCCTTCTTGAGCAGCAGTGACTTCCAACTCCAAAGAGACTGATAATTACAGAAAACATGGTTTTTATTACTCTTGGCACAGCTGACCCAAACAGCGATACTCCCACCACCATGCTTGACGGTCATGAGGTTCCTCGGTTGCAAGGCAGTTTGGCCAGAAAGGTCAACGTTTGTCTTGTCTGTCCAGAGGACGTTCTTCCAGTCGCCTTGGAAGCTTGTCCAGGTGCTCTTTTGGTGAATTTGAGATGGGCAGATTTAATATCCTCCCATGATCATCATTCCCATTCTGTCTCTACATCAGTTTCTAATGTCTGAAGCATGATCACGATTAGCCTCCGCAAGAGAGGCGCGCAGATCCTTAGACCTAGACTTACTCTGGGGCTCCTAGTGATTTCCGAAATGCTTGTCTGCTGTGCGTCTGGAGAGATCCTGGCAGGATGGAAGGACCCTGGGCAGAGTCGATGTGGTCTTGAATATTTCCTGTTTGCAGACTCTTGACAGCGGATGGATGGTACCTCAAAGATATTTAGAAATGCTGTTGTAATCCTCTCTAGACTGCAGCACATCAGCTCCTTTTCTGATGTCCTCTGAAATCTTTTATCATGCCATGTTTCTGCTAATTGTATGATGACCAGACTCACAAAGTGACCAATATATGGGACAGGGCTGCCCAAACTCAGTCCTTGTTTATATATCGCCCAATTTCTAATCGCCTGGCTCCAATTCTTATTTTTGCTACATAAACTGGGGGTTAAT